TCAGCAGGCACTTGACCCCGGCATAAAAGTGCGCGGTCAGGGTCAAGAGGTGGACCACATATGTAAGTCACATATATATATGTAATGATGCAATTATACAGTATGCAGGCAAGTTAGGAAGAGATGGCCACAAAAGGGATTAGCAAGGTTGCATGAAGCTTCTTGCAAGGCGCGGCCTTGTCAATGCTTTCATGGATGAGGGAGCTTCAGGTGGTACCAAATATCATCACGTGTGAAGCCCTAGCTGGTCCGCAGTGTGGGTAGCTTTTTAGGTGGAGAGTGGTTGGCAATGCTCGGATTAATTGTTGATATTATTGTATCCAAAGAGCTCGTCAATGGCTTGTTGGCAAGCATGTTGGGGAGCAATACTTACTTTGTGTGCAGTTTGATCAGTTTTTCCTGGGAGCTGTGCTAAAGACTCTACAGCGCGAACAACCAAAAAAAATGAGCCAGCCATGACACTACTGTAGAGAAGAATCGGAAGCTGCTTTGGAGTACAGTACAGTATTTGTGATTGATGCTGAAAAGTTGAACATGGCCTGACAGCCTGACAGTGACCGCTTACGAGAAACCCATCTCCAAGCTAGATGCTTTCACCTTAACCAAAACCAAAGTACTTGCAGCTGCATGGTGCACAACACATGCATGGTGTACAAGGCAGCATTCACCAGTCACCACCTAGTTCAACATCAACTTTGTCCCAGTAGCGAACTGTTCTCCTAGTTTGTAGCCAGTCAAAAAGCATCGACCATGTAGTCTTTGGCAACTTGGGTGTTGGAATAAGAACTACCCACACAATTCACTCCAGCCCTCATCTTGCATATCTATATAGCTTTGATGATGTCACCGTGTAGCTCCCGCTAAGGTTCAACAGCGCCATATGCTCCGCCAAAGAGCTGGAGACGGCTCTAAGTTTGCAGCATCAGCTGCACCAGCAAGGCAGCGTGCAGTGTGGCGAATCAAAATACTGGAGCACGCGCTCACTCGAATCCAACAGTACCCCTTTCTCATTTAGTGGGTGTAGGTCGGTAGGCGTGACAAGGGAAGTATGTAAATGGCACATCAGCAAGCAAAATGAAACGAACCGTTTCTATCGTTTGGGATTAGTTTGAATTCATTCTGTGCTGGCAAATTGTTTATAGACAACAAATTTGTGTTTTTTTCTGTACGTGTTTTGTTTTTCCTTGCTTCTCAGTGCTTCTTTGCTTTTCTTGCTGTGCTTGTGTTGCTTTTCCTTGCTGTTCATTACTTCTTTGTGAATCCTCTTTCTTTCCGTGCTTTTGTCGCTTTTGCTGCTTTTTGTACCTTCTTTCTTGCTTGGTTGTTTTTGTCCTACTGTTTCTCTCAGCTTCCTTGCTTTCCTGCTTGCGTTTCTTTGCTTCTTTATCCACCGCAACCCCATAACGGCGGATGCTAAGGCCACCAGACTTGGCAATATCACAAAAGACTTGGATGCTTAGATCAGTGAGGTTTACAAAGCACAGCCAAGGTCAAATTTACAGAAGGAAAGGGACCATTCCAACATTGCACATCTTCTGTGAGCCACCCGAGGTTGGATGCTAAGGGCTACCAGGCTTTTGCCAGTTCTCTTCTGGTTGGCTTTATTCCCCTCTTCTCGTCTATTTGTAGCGTAGTGAGTCTCTTTCGCAATCTTTCTATTATCAGCGAGGTTTGCAAAGTGCTGTACATCTTCTGTGAGCCACCCGAGGTTGGATGAAAAAGGGCAACCAGTCTTTTGCCAGCTTCTTGATGGCTACCAGGGTAGAGCTGCCAAGGAAAGGGACCACTCCAACTTTTGTGAACCACCCGGGGGCAAAATTTGGAGGAGGAAGGGTGCCATTCCGACGATGCATACCTTTTTGTAAGCCACCCCACGGTAAAGTTTGGATGAGGAAGGTGCTAGTCCAACGGTGCATACCTTGTGTGAGCCACCCGACGGTAACATTTCGAGGAGGAAGGTGCCATTCCAACGACGCAGGCCTTTTTTTAAAATTTAGGGGAGGAAGGAGCCATTCCAACGGTGCATAGCTTTGGTGAGCCACCCGAGGGTAAACTTATGAGAAGGAAAGTGCAATTCCAACGGCGCATACCTTCTGTGAGCCACCCGAGGGTAGGAATTAAAGGAGGAAGGGGCCATTCCAACTGTGCATAACTTTTGTGAGCCACCCGAGGTTAAAATTTGGAGGAGGAAGGTGCAAGTCCAATGGTGCACACATACCTTTTGTGAGCCACGTGAGGGTAACATTTAGAGGAGGAAGGCACCATTTTAGTGCAGCAACATGCCTGTGTGCGCAGGTGAGCTTTGGCGCGCGCAAGTGAGATTTTGGACGTGGCCCCTTCATAACTAAATCGAGTTCGCATGCGCAAGTGAGGTGATTTTTGCGTGCGCAAGTGAGACCCTTCCCACGGCGGATGCTGAGGGCCACCAGGATTTGGCAATCTCACAATAGACTTGAATGCTTAGATCAGTGAGGTTTACAAAGCGCTGCCAAAGTAAAACCTAAAGAAGGAAAGGGACTACTCCAACAATGCTAAGGGCTACCAGGCTTTTGCCATCTGACATGAGACCTAGATGTCAAGATCAACGCTCCGTGCTTCGTGCGCTCCGAGGTTCACATAACGCTTCTCACCAGGAAATTTGCACTTCGAGCTATACCAGCACCAAAAAAAGGCAAAAATAACGAAAACAAAACAACATTAATTCCATAATTCCGGGACCATTGGTCTGGGATGGTAATGCTGTCGAAGTTCTTCTCTTTGGCGACCGCATACTTCACATGTTCGAAGAAGGTTTCCTTATCTTGTAGCAGGCGAAATCTCTCTAAAAGCACACATCCAACCGCACCTCAACACCCCTAGTATGTGCAAGGTAGGGTGAAAATGAGTGTTTTGTATAGAATGACGGCTGAACGGGTGAAAATAGGCTGAATGTGATAGGTTGTGACATTCACTTTAACGGAAGTTTTTCACCAGAAGGCACATGTCACATGGCACAGCGGCAAAGAAGGGGCATACGAATTCAAGATGGCAAAGGGATGGAGTTGAGCGATTTCTTACGAGTTAGGGCGGCACGAACCACTGCGTGGAAACGCAATCGTTGTAGATAAATATGGCAAAGCTGGCATGAGAGGGATTTGTGGATCCCTGTCAAACCACTAAACAATTTGGGGTTTTTGTTGTAGCTCCATTGGTGCTTTGAATCCAATTCACGTCTCACTTCTGAAGGCTCATGTGGAGGATGGAAGAACTACGTAGAACTACCACCACACCATGGTGGCCTCCACTCGGTGTTCGTGCACGTGGTGTAAGAGAGACATCAGCTATATACTGTATCCAGTGGGCGAATCAAGTACGGATCGGTGCCTTGCAGGTCTGAAGGAAGATATTTACACCTACAACGCGCTTGCTTCTTAACTGTTCATGGTCGAAAGGGTTGACCTGGAGAGACTTTAGACTGGAACATGCTTCAAACTGCTTGGCTGTACATGCTGTAGCTATTCAACCACGATCACTGGAGACTTTGCACGTTGCTGTTTGCATCCGCTTGAAGATGTTATCGTCAACAGTCTCAGACTTTCCAAGTGCTTTGTCAGTCAGGCAGTGTTGATATGCAACCCTTCTGCAATCAGGTTGCTGAGCCTTTATGAGCGTTTGAAGCGCTGGGATTTAGCTTTTGACCTCATTGAGGAGGGAGACAGGGGTTTGTTGAAAGAGTCCAGCTTTTCCCATGTTTGGATGTTCAGTAACTTTGAGTACTTCTGTTTCTTTAGCTTGTTGATTGCTAAGTTTCTTTACAAGCAGCAGATGCAACACTTGTTGACACTGTTTCCAGGAGATGTCGACTCCACCAGATGTAATGAGCTTCAGCACAGCCATATCGGCGTGTGAGAAGGCACCTTCTTGTCAATGCTTTCATGCTTCCCTTTTTGGTGGCATGACAGGTACTCGAAAGATTACTGTTACTGTGCTTAGTTGTGAGGCGCAAAAATGACCAGAATGGCCGTGTTTTTTCTTTGTCATTGTTATGTTTTGTGTAACAATGTAGGAGAAGTCAACTTTCCCAATATCGACTTGAGTTATATACGGTGAACTTTGAGTCGTTTCTACTCACCGTGCATGCAGGGGCAAAAATGGGAAGTGGCCGTGGCATTGTTTGACCAGATGTGTCGGGAAGCCGATGGATCCAGCTGCAGCAGGAGTGTTTGTAAGGTTTGCCTCGACATGCCTTGTTTGAGTGTGATTTAAACACATCGGTCTGGAATAAGATATTGCAGGCCACTTCACTCTGGCTTTTGTTAGCGCATGTGTTTGGACGTGGTCATACCGATCGAGCAGAACAGATGCTGGAAGCAAAGGTTCAACTGCGGATGCACAACCGACCACCGAACGTGCCAGCATTGTCCTGACGAACTCGTCGGTGTTTTCGTCATTTTTGTTTATCTATTGTTCCTAGTAGCTTCTTGTTCCTAGTAATTAGTACGGCCAGGAGCCCCTAGTAGCGATGCCCTTTGCTCCTAGCAGCGTTCTTGCTCCTAGCGATGCCCTTTGCTCCTAGTAGCGTTCTTGCTCCTAGAAGCGATGCCCTTTGCTCCTAGTAGCGGTGGCAGGATCAGGTGAGTCAGTCGTGTCCATAGGGTTCCGATCAGAGCCTTGATCCATTGGGATGGATCACTTCAGGGGCTACGACGCAGAATGATCCACAATTGCAAGATATTGCAAGGGTTTCTGGCCACACCCAACATCGGAAATGACATGTGATGACCAAATTTGCAGAACGCTTCCCTGATCACATACTGGATGTCTTCTGAAAGGAAGTTGTGTCAAGGCTGTCAAAGTCATGCTTTTTCGTGGATGTTTTATGATTTGTTCATACCTCAACTCGTAGATGTGCGCAAGACTTTGCAAGAGTTGACCTGGTCAAAACACTTACTGTCGGTATATTAGGTTGAAGCTTCAAA